ACACGTCTGTCTTTTGCACAATCTGAGTAATTCTATCCATGCTAAATGTGACATGTAAATTTCTCCAGTGTGAGATCAATAAAGTCTTATCTTATCTTATGTGAAGCATCTTTGAGTTTCCTGACAAGCGCTATATAAAGCCAATGCATTATAATTATCATCCATCCATCCATTTTCTTCCGCTTTATCCGTTGCCGGGTCGCGGGGGCAGCAGTCTAAGCAGAGACGCCCAGACTTCCCTATCCACACACACCTCCTCCAGCTCGTCCGGGGGGACCCCTAGGCGTTCCCAGGCCAGCTGAGAGACATAGTCTCTCCAGCGTGTCCTGGGTCTTCCCCGGGGCCTCCTCCCGGTGGGACGTGCCCGGAACACCTCCCCAGGAAGGCGTCCAGGAGGCATCCTGAACAGATGCCCGAGCCACCTCAACTGGTTCCTCTCGACGTGGAGAAGCAGCGGCTCTACTCCGAGCTCCTCCCGTGTGACCGAGCTCCTCAACCTATCTCTAAGGGAGCGCCCAGACACTCTGCGGAGGAAGCTCATTTCGACCGCTTGTATCCGCGATCTCGTTCTTTCGGTCATTACCCACAGCTCATGACCATAGGTGAGGGAGGGAACGAAGATTGACCGGTAAATTGAGAGCTTTGCCTTTCGGCTCAGCTCCCTCTTTACCACAACGGTCCGATACAGAGACCGCATCACTGCGCACACTGCACCGATCCGCCTGTCAATCTCACGCTCCATCCTCCCCTCACTCGTGAACAAGACCCCGAGATACTTGAACTCCTCCACTTGAGGAAGGACCTCTCCACCCACCTGGAGAGGGTAAGGCACCTTTTTCCGGTCGAGCACCATGGCCTCGGATTTGGAGGTGCTGATTCTCATCCCAGCCGCTTCACACTCGGCTGCAAACCGTCCCAGTGCATGTTGCAGGTCCTGGTTCGTTGGAGCCAGCAGGACGACATCATCCGCAAAAAGTAGAGATGAAATCCTGTGGTTCCGGAACCGGACCCCCTCCGGCCCCTGGCTGCGCCTAGAGATTCTGTCCATAAATACAGTGAACAGAACCGGTGACAAAGGGCAGCCTTGGCGGAGGCCAACATGCACCGGGAACAGGTCTGACTTACTGCCGGCAATGCGAACACAGCTCTGGCTCCGGTCATACAGGGACCGAACAGCCCTCAGCAGAGGACCCCGGACCCCGTACTCCCGGAGGACCCCCCAAAGGACACCCCGGGGAACACGGTCGAACGCCTTCTCCAAATCCACAAAGCACATGTGGACAGGTTGGGCGAACTCCCATGAACCCTCGAGTATCCGATGGAGAGTATAGAGCTGGTCCAGTGTTCCGCGACCGGGACGAAAACCACACTGCTCCTCCTGAATCCGAGATTCGACCATCGGACGTAGCCTCCTCTCCAGTACCTTGGAGTAGACCTTACCGGGGAGGCTGAGGAGTGTGATCCCACGATAATTGGAACACACCCTCCGGTCCCCCTTCTTGTAGAGAGGGACCACCACCCCGGTCTGCCACTCCATTGGCACCGCCCCCGATCGCCACGCGATGTTGCAGAGACGTGTCAGAGTCCTACAACATCCAGAGACTTTAGATAGTCAGGACGGATATCATCCACTCCCGGCGCCTTGCCACCATGGAGGCTGCCAACCACCTTGGTGACCTCGGCCAGGGAGATGGAAGTATCCGCCCCAACATCCTCAGCCTCTGCCTCCTGGACGGAGGACGTGACGGGGGGATTGAGGAGAACCTCGAAGTATTCCTTCCACCGCCCGACAATATCCCCAGTCGAGGTCAGCAGCCCTCCACCCGCACCATACACGGTGTTGGCAAAGAACTGCTTCCCCCTCCTGAGGCGCCGGACGGTTTGCCAGAACCTCTTCGAGGCCGACCGATAGTCATGCTCCATGGACTCTCGAACTCCTCCCAGTCCCGGGTTTTTGCCTCTGCAACAGCCCGGGCCGCGGCACGTTTGGCCTGCCGGTACTGGACAGCTGCCTCAGGAGTCCCACGAACCATCATTGCTCGATAGGACTCCTTCTTCAGCCTGACGGCATCCCTTACTGCCGGTGTCCACCACCGGGTTCGGGGATTGCCGCCGGGACCAGCACCAGAGACCTTGCGACCACAGCTACGAGCCGCCGCATTGGCGATAGAGGAAGAGAACATGGTCCACTCGGACTCGATGTCCCCCTCCTCTGCCGGGACCTGGGAGAAGCTCTCCCGGAGGTGTGAGTTGAAAGTCCGTCTGACAGGGGGCTCACCAAGACGTTCCCCAGCAAACCCTCACTACACGCTTGGGCCTGCCAGGTCTGACCGGCCTCCTGCCCTGCCAGCGGATCCAACTCACGACCAGGTGATGATCGGTTGACAGCTCCGCCCCTCTCTTCACCCGAGTGTCCGAGACACGCGGTCGAAGGTCAGATGATACGACTACAAAGTCGATCATCGACCTCCGGCCTAGGGTGTCCTGGTGCCACGTGCACTGATGGACACCCTTGTGCTCGAACATGGTGTTCGTGATGGACAGGCCGTGACTGGCACAGAAGTCCAACAACTGAACACCGCTCGGGTTCAGATCAGAGGGGCCGCTCTTCCCGATCACCCCTCTCCAAGTGTCACTGGCATTTCCCACATGGGCGTTGAAGTCCCCCAGGAGAATAACGGAGTCCCCGGGCGGTGCACTGTCCAGTACCCCTCCCAAGGACTCCAAGAAGGCCGGGTACTCTGCACTACCGTTAGGCCCGTAGGCCGTCACAACAGTGAGAGACTTGTCCCCCACCCGGAGGCGGAGGGACGCGACCCTCTCATTCACCGGGGAGAACTCCAACACGTGGCGGCTGAGATGGGGGGCAATGAGTATGGCCACCCCAGCTCGCCCCCTCTCCCCGCGGGAAACACCAGAAAAGTGGAGCGTCCAACCCCTCTCAAGGAGTTGGGTTCCAGAGCCCAAGCTGTGTGTGGAGGTGAGGCCGACTATCTCTAGTCGGTATCGCTCAACCTCCCCCACAAGCTCGGGCTCCTTCCCCCCCAGTGAGGTGACGTTCCACGTCCCAAGAGCCAGATGTTGGGTGTGTGGACTGGGTCGTCGAGGTCGTCGAGGTCTCCGCCTTCGACTGCTGCCCAGTCCTCTCTGCACCTCGCCACCACGGACCCCTCTGCAGGTGGTGAGCCCACAGGAGGGACTGCCCACGTCATCCCTTCGGGCTGAGCCCGGCCGGGCCCCGTGGGCTAAGGCCCGGCCACCAGGCGCTCGCTTGCGAGCCCCGACCCCAGGCCTGGCTCCAGGGTGGGGCCCCGGCTGCGCCATGCCGGGCGACGTCACGGTTTTCGTTGTCGTGCTGTCCATGGTTGGCTTCGGACTGCGCTTCGTCTGACTCGTCACTTGAGACCTGTCTGCCATGGGAGACCCTACCAGGGGCATGAAGCCCCAGACAGCATAGCTCCCAGGATCATCCGAGTGCTCAAACTCCCCCACCACGTTAAGGTGGCAGTCCAATTATCATTATTATTAATAAATAAAAAGTATGCGTCATGTCACATTAGAATAGTATGTTGGCAGAAATAACTTAACAATTTCAAATTGAACAAAGCAGTCATTATTTTTCAGAGTCTCTTTAACTTTGGGTTGTTTTGGCTGTTTTTGCCTCAATATTAGCTGTGCAAAAGCCATGTCTTATTTACTTTACTTTCTTTCTGCGGAATCTTGCGTTGACCTTTTAAAATCGCACCTCCTCCTGGCTACTGTCTGTGCACCCCTACGGTAGCCCTGGAGGGACAAGCTGGACTCTAAAAATAAAAAAACAGGGCAGATGATGAATTTGTTTTCAATTGTCGATCTACCATCATCATCAAGTCAAAAGTGCTCTTGTTTGTACAATATTATTGTTCAGGCAGACATAACACAAACCAAGCACTACTAAATGTACTTTCATTTATTTTACAATCAACACAATAAAATCTTGTTTTTATGCATACTTTTCTTTAATAAAATATAATCTAATGTAGAAGAAAAAATACATTGAAACATGAACACACACATCTTAAATCAGAAGTACAGCAAAAGTACAACTTTTTTGTACTTTGGTAAAACACTTTTTTAATAAGTGGTCCTAACCCTGGGGCCCCAACCCTAACCTAACCCTGGGTCCTGGGATAACATTTGTAAAATAATTAGTGACATCTTGAATATAATGATGTTGATTATGTATTGTGAAAAGTAACGTCTAAACCTTTTTGTTTTATAATTGACTGGCAATATTCTGCTGTCAAAAAGTTTCACACTGACAAAGCTGTTATCTGAACTTAGAAGCATGGCTAACCACAATGAAAGAATGATTTTGGAGGCATGGCTAACCACAATGAATGAATGAACTTAGAACCATGGCTAACAACATTGGAGGAATGAATTTAGAAGCATGGCTAACCACATAAATTACTGAACTTAGCATGGCTATCCTGATTGACTTAGTTTTGATTCATTTTATCTTTAGACTTGTCATCTACAAAGTAAATGAAACATATTTGAAATTTAAGTCAGATAAAATTACTAAGTAAAATAAAAACTAGTGGTTTATACGGTATAGTTATAAGGATAATTGAACCGGTTCTAAAGCAGGAAGATTTGTTGAATCGAGTAAATTATAGTTTACTTTACATATTGTAAACACACACACACATTTTTTTTTTCTGTGCCCTGATTTGTGCTAGTTCATATGTTGCCTGTGGAGATTGGTATCAGCTGTGACAAATATCTCTTTAACCCTTTAGTTTTGACCTGAAACACATATTTTGAATCCACAAGGTGCGTATGCAAGTTTAACGGCTCATATGTCACTCGTCCTTCAAATGTTATAGCTCCCTGTCCAAGAATGTGCTTAAAATTGAATGCAACCATAAAAACATAACTCTCTTCTAAATGCAATGGCAGCGTTTGTCATAAAGTGCTTGAGAGTGTGGGTCTGACTGTGCTCTGGTGTCCCGCAGGAGTGAGACCGTGCTGCATCAGTTCTGCTGTCCCGCCCCAGAGCACCCCGAGACAGACACTGGATCAGCGGGGTAAGCCTCCTCTTCCACACTCTCTCCTCCCCACTGCACTAAAAGGAGACATATTATACAAATCAACATTTTAAAAAACATTGCTCGGCATCAAAAACTGACCATCAGTTGTTTTTAGATCCATCCACACTGATATCATGAACTTCTGACTAAGGGCAAAGGACAGGTATATTATTCATATCCATATTAATGGACAAAAATGCATTTCTTTTTTGAGTTTATCTGCTTTACTGAAAGAACAAATTGTGTGCATTGCTTGTTGTTTTTAATATTATAATCTGGCCCATGGAGAGTCTTGATAATATTGTTGTACAAATATGTTGTGAAAAATTTTCCTTTACACTTTAGATAGATAAAAAATAAATACTATTTGGACTACAAGGGATATGACCACAAATTATTCCACACAGATACATTTATTTGGCACAACCTGTATTACACTTATGCGACCAATATGCTTCCATAACACACACGTAATACACACACTGTACACATATAGTACACAATGACATAATGACTGTCGACAGAGATATCTGGTTTGTGGGGACCACACTTTCACAAAAACTAACTTTTTGACCCTCTGTGTTGGCTCTTCCATCAGAACAAAGCAGAAGTCTAGGGTTAGAACATTAGCGTTTACCCGACTGATGATTAGAGCAGGATTACTACTGATGAAATCAAGATCTGCAATATTATATCCACTTGTGTCACAATCTTTACACAACACATTGAACTGGCAAGCAGCTACATACTGTATCTCCTTCTACACATGGTCCCAGTGCAAATGGCGCACATCCTCCTCACACATGAGTGGTTTCTTTGTGAGATACATTCCACCTGTGCCCGTCTCCCGGGTCTTTCAGATTCCTCCAAGGCCGCATGGGTTAATCCCATCAGATCATCTCTCCTTTTGTGTTTGCGCTGAGAGTTACTATGTGGGCTGGGGCTGGTGCTGATCGATGAGGGCAGGAGTAGGACACTTCACTCAGCCTCCAGCATTACACACACGTATTCTCCTGAGACGTGAACGCATTCGCAGAGGAGAGGAGAGCACTGACAATGTGGGAGACAGAAGATATGTGAGAGTGAACCAATAGGCACAATCCTCATGTTACAACATTGTTCCCTCCTCTATACAGTCTATACTCTATACATATATAGTATGTGTGGATTTGGAGTTCTTGGTTCATCCCAGAATGTTCCTCTGGAAATAAGAGGGACACATCTTTATTGGGATTTTTCACATTTCCAAGAGTTTGAAAGATCCTGTATATGATCAATTGGCTGTTTGCGCCACCAGGGACAAGCTCACCTCTTTACCTGACCAGGACCACTGTGGAAATGTGTTTGGGAGTTTCAATGCATGGGTGTTAATATTACTTGGTGTTTGGTTTTAGGGTTTTATATAAATAGTAATGGGATTTTAAAATTGTTTTCAAGCTGCACCAGATAAAGGTGCCCAAGACCATCATTCTGTGTTCTGCTTCTGGAGAGGAAATAACTCAATTTGCACTTGCACTGTATTTTGCATGTTGCACATTTCTCATTTTTGACAACCAATCTTTGTTTTGAATCCTTTTTAAACCTTATTCCAGCCCTTCAGAGAAATCCTACCCTTCCATCCCAGTGCATAGGGCCCTTTGCAAACAGTCAGCCTTGTTTGATGACTGGGGCTTATTTCCTTCTCTCTCCCTCTGTGTCACTCCTAATCAAGTCCAAAATGAAATATTCAAAAATAACATCTCCTCGTTCATTTCTGGTGAACATTAATTCCATGCTGCAGCTGCAGCTCTGGTCTAAACTGTAATAGCTGCTGTCTGCGCCGCGCTGCTCTAATGAAGTGTCTTTAGTCTGCAGTCATTAGGCTTGTCCATATCTGTGTCCTCATTGTGACCCACCCTCTACATGTGCCAGAGGATTATTGCACTGATCTGAAGGCATCCCTGGAACAACTTCGGAAATCTGAGTCCAGAATTGTGCAGTGCTAGGAAAGTATATAAAATGTATTAGTGCTGTCAAACGATTCAAATATTTAATCGCGATTAATAGTTTTTTCCCCCTGTTTAGATATCCCTCGATTGTGTTTTGCCAAGGGATTGGAGGAAGTCAAAAGCTTATATTAATCCAATCCCCTCCAAAAAGTAAAGTATTTGGATTGTTTTTTATAGGATACTCAATCTCTGATTGTGTTGTTGTTTTTTAAAGTGTGTCAAACATAATAGTAAATTAATTTAATTGTCTAATAAATACAATACAATTTTTTCTTGTATAGCCCTAAATCACAACAGTTGTCATCTCAGACAACTTACCAAACCGTTGAAATCGCCAACACAGATCAGAGAATTAACAGACACAAAAATATAGAACACATATGTATTGGTCCATATGGAGAGACCAATGTCCATGAATGTTGATAAATGTCCATACATGTTGTAGCATGTTAAAGTGTCTTGGATCATCAACACAGCCCTTCTTGTTAGACAGTAACTGTCCAACAGACCCTCCTGCATCGGAAAGAAAAAACTGATAAACCGATTTGTTTATGTTGTCATTCAAGTCAGTGTATACGACGCAGTGGAAATAACTATAGCTTCAGCGTTTGGGCTGTGACCTGGAGATAGCGGCAAGTCGGAAGCAGCTGGGCTGATACGTGCCCGTGGTAGAAGATACGTGCCTGTGGTAGAAGCCTGGCACTCGTCAGCCCAAAGTATGACCCATGCTTTGGGGGTATTCAGGCCGCAAGTGGCGAGCCTAATTTGTTTGGTTTCCATTCCAGCTACAGCTACATTCGGAGTGGTGTTGTAGTTTTTCTAATGTTAATAGTTGTTGCAACAACTACTAGAGCAGTCATCTAAGAAGGCGCCTCGTACAGTCTTTGCTGCTCTCTTTTTCTTTTGTTTTTACTTTTTAATTGTGCATCTGGCTGTTCCTACACCCGTGAGGAGCTTATGAACGTCCGACCCACCGTTCCCATGGACCTACTGCCTGTTTTCTTGGCATCTGCTGCTGATTTAGTTCATGTTCTAGCCAAAAAAGTGTGGGTTCGTAAAAGGGGAAGGCGCGGAGGCCTGCTCGTGCGTCGTAGGAGAAGAGGAGCGCACACGGCTCTTCCCGGCATTTTTCTCTCCAACGTACGCTCACTGGGCAATAAGATGGACGAACTCAGCCTGCTCATGAGAAGAAACAAGGACTTCGCCTCATCCTGTGTCCTCTGCTTCACTGAGACCTGGCTAAATGAGCGGATCCCGGACTGCGCTCTGGAGCTGCAGGGTTTTGAACTGTTGTGCGCTATCAGGAAAGAGCAGAGGCGGAGGGCTGTGTTTCTTCTTCAATACAAACTGGTGTAGCGATGTGACAGTGATCTCCAAGCACTGTTCTCCTGCTCTGGAATATATTTTCATTCATTGTAAACCATTTTACTCCCCTCGCGAGTTTGTTTCATTCATTCTTGCCTCTATTTACGTACCGCCATGTGCGGACGCGAGCGAGGCTCAGCGCGCACTCGCAGAGCAAGTACTGTGTATGGAGCGTTTATACCCGGACTCTCTGATTATTATCCTGGGGGATTTTAATAAGGGAAACTTGAGCCAGGAATTACCCAAATACAGACAGTTTATCAAATGCCCGACCAGAGAGGAGAACACTCTGGATCACTGCTACACCACTGTGCGCGGAGCTTTTTGCGCTGTTCCCAAGCCAGCCCTCGGCTTCTCAGATCACTCCATGATACATCTGATCCCTGCTTACAGACAGAGACTAAAGCTCTCAAACCTGCAGTGAGAAGCTCCAAAGTGTGGTCTGATGAAGCTGTGGAAGAGCTGCGCGCATGCATGGAATCTACAGACTGGGACCTTTTCAGAGCTGCCTCAGACAGTTTGGATGAATACACGGACACTGTGACGTCATACATTCACTTCTGCGAGGACAGCATCATTCCAACAAGGACCAGGGTCATCTATAACAACGACAAACCCTGGTTCACTGCTAAACTCCGGCAGCTCAGGAAAGCAAAGGAGTCTGCTTTCAGGGAGGGGGACCGCAGCGGCTACAAAGCAGCTAAATATCAGTTCAGGAAAGAACTGAAAGTAGCCAAGTCCCGGCACAGAGAGAGAGGTAACAACGATACTGCTTCTGTCTGGAGGGGCCTACGGGAGATCACCAACTACAAGCCCAAAGCCCCTCTCTGTGCTGACGACCACAAGCTAGCTGACGAACTGAACTTTATTTTTCAGTCGCTTTGATGCTGCCCCTGACACCTCCCCCATCCCCCACTACTCTAACGACCCACCCATCAGCCCTGCCCCCACCCTGACAATAGCCTCTAAAGCAGGGGTCGGCAACCCGCGGCTCCGGAGCCGCATGCGGCTCTTGAGTGCTGCTGGAGTGGCTCCTGGAGCCTTTTCAAACATGTCTGAAAATGGATGCAGGTATGTGACCTCTGAGCCCAAAGCAAATTGATTTACTGTATTTCTACAATTGCATGAAGGCAAAAAAATGGAAGTTAAACTAAAGCAGAGTCGTCACGTGTTGCGTCATTCACGACACGCTGCAGTGAAAACACACATTTGATAATCATGAATGATTATTATGTATTTGTAGCCTTTACTTTGTCATTTAGATATTAGGCTAATATAGCTAATACATCTTGCAGCCTGTGTTAACTTCATAAAAGCCTTATACAAGGCTGTTATTTTTTTGCGGCTCCAGACAGATGTTGTTTTTATTTTTTTTGTCAATTATGGCTCTTTGAACATTTTGGGTTCCCGACCCCTGCTCTAAAGATATCAAACAACTCTTCTTGAGGCTGCACCCCCGCAAAGCTCCTGGCCCGGACCACGTGTCTCCGGCCACTCTGAGACACTGCGCCTGAGCTTACTCCTGTGTTCACGGACATTTTCAACACCTCTCTGCAGTCCTGCCATGTCCCGGGCCGGCTTCAAATCCTCCATTATTGTCCCCGTCCCGAAGAAGCCCAGGATCACAGGACTCAATGACTACAG